TATATATATATTATACTTACTCTCTTCTTTGTGTTTTCCCATGTAGAGGACTACCTCTCTTTCGACATCATCGCGCTTAGAAACGAAATAGTACACCATTTCTACTCACTTGAGCATACAACTGCAGCCTCACAGCCTCACTATCCTAAACTGAGCAATAAAAAAATTTAAAAATTCAAAGGTGTCCACAGGGAATGTCAGGGTTGATTAGCAGCAGTTAAACTAATATGAAGGACAAATTGATAATGCGTTGTACTATTTGTAGAAAGTTTTCAAGAACGATAGTCTTTTTAAATGATTTTAAAGTTTCGCGATGCGCTTTTGCGACGGTTCCCGCGATTTGTAACTTTATTTCTCTCTCTATTCTTTCGCTATTGGATCATTCATTCTGCGGCTATTTTCTGTTTCATCAACTTTTTGCGAATACAGGATTTGATTCAGAAAAAAGCTTCCTTAAAAGAATGCTGTCTTCGATCCTGCACTCGCGAAGCAGCGCTGGAAGTTCTCTTCTACGACGTCATCTTCCACGTATCCACAGCTTCGCAACACTTGCCACACTAGAAAAGGCTTATCCAATAGGCTCACAAATTCACGGGTTCACAGTCTCAGAGACGAAGACCATTTCTGAGCTAGATTTATTGGCTGTGCATTTAAAGCACGATTTGACGGGTGCCGAATACTTGCACGTCGCGCGCGATGACGACAATAATGTATTCTCGATTGCGTTTAAGACCAATCCGCCGGATGCGACTGGAGTCCCACATATTTTGGAACATACAACACTTTGTGGATCTGAAAAGTATCAAGTTCGAGATCCGTTTTTCAAAATGCTTAATCGCAGTTTAGCAAATTTCATGAATGCAATGACTGGTATGTCCTCTCTTTACGACTAATTCTATCAATATGATTTTTAACGAATGGAGGAAACAGCAAGTGATTATACATTTTATCCGTTTGCGACTACGAATCAAGTAGATTTTGCAAACCTCCGAGACGTGTACTTGGACGCAACTTTACATCCTTTGCTTCGAAAGTTGGATTTTACTCAAGAAGGTTGGCGGCTTGAGCACGTTGATCCCAAGGACCCTAATACTCCGCTGCAGTTCAAGGGCGTGGTTTACAATGAAATGAAGGGACAAATGGTAAACTAAACCTTGCTGCTTTTTTTTTAAGGTTGAACGCGAAACTGGTACTAATTGGCTATAGTCTGACACGTCATATCTTTACTATATTCGATTTCAAGAGAGTATATATCCGAGTCTCAACAACAGTGGAGGCGATCCGGCTAAAATCACGACCCTGACATACGACAATCTGCGTGATTTCCACTCCAAGAATTATCATCCTTCGAATGCCAAAGTGTTTACATACGGTAGCTTTCCCCTAGAAGAACACCTAGCGCACGTTGATACCGTATTTTCATCATTCATGCCTCGTGCACCAGATTCCGAGATCAAGTATCCGATGCCATTGGCCGAGAATGTGCGTGTCATCGAAGAAGGACCTATCGATCCTCTCAGCGATCCCGAAAGACAGCACAAGACTTCGTTGACGTGGTTCATGGGTCCGACGACTGATGTCTATGAGAGTCTTTGTCTGCGCGTGGTGACGTCTTTACTTGTTGATGGACATGCGTCACCGTTGTATCAGGCGTTGATTGAATCCGATCTTGGTACTGAGTTCTCTCCCAATACCGGACTCGATTCAAGCTCACCTGTGAATATTTTTTCAGTGGGTGCGCAAGGTGTGGTTGCTGAGAATGTCGAGAGAGTCGAGCAGACCATTCGGCGAGTTATTCAGCAGACATACGAAGACGGTCTCGATTTGCAGCGCGTCGAGGCTATTTTGCATCAATCAGAATTGTCGCGAAAGCACAAGGTGGCTAATTTCGGTATGAATATGCTTTACGGTATGATTTCGGGTTGGTTCAATAAGGTGAATCCTATGGATATGTTAGAGTGGAATTCTTTAATTGAAAGATTTAGAGCAGATTTAAAGAAGCCTAGATTTTTGGAATCATATCTTGAGCGGTTTTTGTTGGATGACAAGCCTGTCTTTTCGTTTACTATGGTACCTTCCGAAAGCTACAGTGAAAGACTTGTTAAGGACGAGGATGAACGATTAGCGGCACTAGTTGCGTCATTGGGTGAAGCAGACAAGGAGAACGTTTATAATCTAGGTCTGCAGCTACTTAGCAAGCAGGATGAGAAGGAGGATCTCTCATCGCTGCCAACTTTGCAAGTTGAAGATATTCCCAAGCAGATGAAGCGCGTTGACTTAGAGTACAGCAAAAGCGCAGCTCAAGTTCCCGTACAATGGCATGTTGCGCCGACAAATGGGTTGACGTATATGCGCTCTCTGATCTCTTTACAAGATTTACCGCAGGAGCTTCATGCGTACCTACCACTTTTTGCCGAATCTCTGACGAATCTGGGAACAAAGGCTCGCACCATGGCGTCGCTAGAGGACGAGATCAAGCTCAAAACTGGCGGTATCTCAGCTGGTGTGCAGGTGCGTGCGCAGCCGGACAACATTGATGCCTGGAACGTGAATCTTGCTGTGAGCGGTTACAGTCTCGATAAGGATGTCGGAGAACTACTACGACTTGTTAATGTTCTTTTACTTGAGACCAATTTTGAAAATTACGAGAAATTGCGCACGTTGATTCGTGGTATGGCATCGGGGTCGGCGGACGCGATCGCTAGTAGCGGCCACGCGTATGCGCGCGCGGTGGCGGCTTCAGCACTATCCCCGGCGTCAAAACTCAGCGAGACGCTTAATGGCATAGAGCAAGTGAATCTGATTAGTGAGTTAGATGCCTACGACGACGCAGCGTTACCACTTATCAGTGAGAAGCTGCGCCAGATTGCTGATTTTGCGATAAGCCATGGTGGAATGAAGATCGCGATTACGTGCGGTGCCGACGCGGTGAGTACGAATGACGCATTTGTGGCTAAATTTGTGGGCGATTTGCCTGCACCTACGACGCCGCGGTCGACGGCGGCCGGAAGCGCAGAAACTTTGCAAGGATTTACGCCTCCTTCAGGTATTGTGCGCAAATTCTACGAGATGCCATTCCAAGTTACCTATGCCGGGTCGAGTGTGCGCGGGGTACCGTACTCGCACGCCGATGGAGCCGCACTGCAGATTCTGTCGAGTATGCTCACGCACAAGTACCTTCACGGCGAGATTCGTGAGAAGGGAGGCGCGTATGGCGGTGGAGCCGCGTATAATGCTACTGCGGGTGTGTTTAGTTATTACTCTTACCGCGATCCTAATCCGGTGAATACTTTGCGCGTGACGGAGCAGGCTGGTCAGTGGGCTGTTGATAAAGCGTGGAGCGAGCGAGATTTTGAAGAGGCCAAACTGAGTGTTTTCCAGGGCCTTGATGCGCCACAGAGCGTGGAAAGTGAAGGAATGGTGTTGTTCAGTATGGGAATCAGCGATGATTTACGACAGGCGCGTCGGGAGCAGCTGTTGAGTGTCGGTGCTCGCGAAGTGAGAGATGTGGCGCAAAAGTACCTTGTTGGACAGAAAGACCAGAGGAGTGTTGCGTTACTGGGAGGGAAGCAGGAGTGGATCAGTGAGGCCGACGGATGGACTATTGCATCTGCGGGTGCCGCCGGTGTTGGTGGAATTGGTGGTATGGTCGGTGAAGAAGGAGAAGTGGCTGCTGCCAGATAGCAGTTTTTGTATATATGTATGTGTATGTCTGAATATTGAATCGCCTATTATTACTGCAAATGAATTATCTAAAGTATCTACTCACAAAAGAAATCACATTGAGTTTCAAGTTCGAACAATATACACATCAAAAGGCTCAGTTACAAGCCACATTCAATCTAGCCAACGCGTTTATCGAGGGATGAAGTTTCTTATGTTTCCAATTTCTTAGTCAATAGTACCTTGCAGGAAAGAAAACCCACAGAGTTTGCTTTTCTTTTTGTTTCCTGCTCATCACTTTCTCTTTGACGCGGCATTTACTCGGAAGACTGTCCTGTCACACCAGCCAAAGCGGAAGTCTGAGCAAAACACCTTAAGCCGATGCATCTGATCTGTCCCCTTTTTGTTTCTTTACTTTTTCTGCTACCTGAGATTTGGTTATGAGTTCCTGTCACTTTCCAGCAAAAGATGAAAATAATAAAAAAATAAGATGAAAAAAAAAAAAGAAAGGGTTACTGCAGCATTCACATATCGTGGGCAAAGCCGCTTGCTTCCTGAGAAGCCGTCGTGTTGGTATTACTTTGGAGATATGCGGAGTCGAAGTTCTCGGCGCGACGATAAGGAGGCCTTTATCTACTCTATTTCATTCCGTTCTAATTCCTCCCTCTCTCAATACTTTGGACCCTTTTTATATTCAATATCAGGATACATAAGAGACATTAAGCACACTAAACCGATTCTAATTTTTCTAATAAAAAGGATAGATATGCGTGTAATCTTCAAGCCTTCATAGCACTTCTTACGCGGTCCTACCCTCTTCCCAGAGTCTCATCTGTTTTCTTAGTGATCTCCCGTCACTAAACTAACAGCAAAGTATAGCCCCTGCGTATGTCACGCCAAAAGGGCCTTGGCAGGCACGACCAGAAGCTGTGAGTTAATGCAATGCTGCGCTTTGTATGTGCAAAGGATATATGTAAAAGGGAGGCTGTTATCTCGCTGAATAAAAGTAAATAAAGGTAAGTGAAATTTACCACTCTTGGGTCACTAGCAGACAAAATTAAAAAGACACTAATGAGCCGTAACTTGTAAATCTCGTATGCATATTTCGTACGAAAAAAAAACACAGTTTATGCAAATATAGTTGTCTTACGTGCGCTGCACCAATCAACCCTATTTTCTGATATCAGTATGCGTTTCCTGATAATATCATATACTTACACAAAATAGAGCTCCCTTCGGATCGCTGATATGTTCAGAGAGTAAAATTGCTGACTGAATGTTTGACTAAAAGAAACAAATGGATAACACAGTCTAATTAAATTTTTATGTCAACGCGATTCCTTATGGCCCAATGGCAAGGCGTCCGCCTACGACATCTGCAAAGGTAGAGTGAGCGGGAGATTCCAGGTTCGACCCCTGGTGAGGAAGGATTAATCACCTTCTTCGCAAGTACGCGATTTTTTTTTTTGGGACAATGTTTTAAATATATTGTATGTTCTAATTTTTTTTATTAAATTTCCTTATAATTTATAGTGCTTGTAGTTGGGAATTCAGTTTGTAGAGAAGTGTGAGCATCGGATACTAATCTGGCAGATACCGCTCTGCTGTTGCGCGTTTTTTTCTATTCTCTAAAAAAGCGAGATTTCCAATTTGAACTCAAGGTATATAGCTATCAATGATCACCAAACGAGAAGTAATATATAATATCAAGAGTACGGTATATTGCGGCTTTGCAAGTAAGTAAGCAAGAAGCCAGGGGGGATGCAGGCACAAAAAGAAAGAAAAGGAAGGGATTAGAGTTTGCATTTACAAAAAGTTAAACTTAATAGGCAGGTGTCTGTCGGTATCTGTCCTGTTCACGAGCTGATCTACTGTACTGAAGTACAAGAGTTATATGAGTTGGCATAAGTTATTGTAGAGTATTTATAGAGATAATAGACAAGTTAAGCAATATATCTAACGAATATAAAAGTAGAAAAATTAGACAGAGGTGGAGTCATTACAGTCACGATAACAAGCGTGCTGCCAACGTCGGGCCCGACCCAGCGAAGTGTACGACGACGACAACGACAACGACAACGACGTCGACGGCAGTGTGGATCAGATACCGCTAAAAAACCTCAATGCAAAATAGTCGAATAAGGGAAAAAGAGAAAGCGCAAGAGAGGCTGGGACTTGAGTCAATTTTCATGTCTCTCGAAGGAAGTCAGTCTGTGTGACTGTGAGTATGAGGCACTGAGTAGAAGGAGTTGCCTTTCTTGGTAGAATATAATTGCTATTGAAAATTCATGCGGCAGTATTTCTAGAGGGAAAAACCATCAAGCTGCTATCCAATATAGTAAAGCGAAATAAATACGATGGCTGCTGTTCAGAAGAAGCTGTGATAAAAAGTGCTGCCGCCAGCTCAGTTTCAACGCTGGCGGTTGTTCACCCGACTTCAAAGAGGCTTAAACTCCAGGATCTGTGGCGAATATTTTGAGAACAAACCACCAGCAGGACACCTCGAAAGCCAAGAGTGGATTGTGAGTCGTGAATTCTGTGAGAAATATAGAGAGCGAATGTGGGCGACGCGCTATGAAACAGAACGGAGCCGTAGAGTCCAGCTATCGACGTGCACCTTCCTTTTTCAGCGAGGCAACTTTCTTCCTGGTTCTCTCGGATTTATTCCAGTAAGCCTGCGAGTGACTGGTTGCAATAATATAGACTGTAGAGCCAAAATCTATACGAGCACACATCTATGCCAGTACGCGCAATACCTTTGTACATAAAACGATTGAGCGCAGGATGCATTGGCGACGCAGTCAGAATCCATGAGTGGCTGTCGCTTTCTAGCTCCCTTCCCCTTTCAACACCTGCCCTTGCTCTTTATTGGCAAGCTGGCAAGTTTTCAACTTTGTTCTGTCAAGCAAATTGGTCTTTTTCCTACAACACTGCTTATTTAGTCCACGCTGGGCAAGACGCGCGTCGCAAACCAGCAGTCGCCAGCCACACGGATGTGTCACCAGCCACATGCACCTAAGTAGGTACCGAGCCCCTGGCGTGAGCCGCACCGTGGCTGGGCTACTCCTTCTTTGTGGCTATCCAGTTCACTGCGGTCGTCGATATAAATCCACCATCTGGACCCTGGCTGCTCTTCATTTCGTCTAAGTATACACTCTTCGCTTTGCTGTTTGCGAATTTTTTATTTTCAACCCTTCAGACTCGGCACAACACTCAGTACAAACCACAGGCGTCATGCGCTGTGCTTCAATTGCTGCCACTGCCTTCACGGCCATGGCTTTCCTCCCTTTTCTCGTCTTAGCTGTGCCAGTGGCTCAACCAGACGAATACGACGTGGTTGTTACAGTTGTTCAAACTGTCTATGTTTCTGATGTTGGCGATACTCCGGCAGCTGCCACTGAGGCTTATGTCGCGCCTACTTCTTCAGCAGCTGCTGCAGTGGCAGCTACCACCTCCTCGTTTTCTTCGAATGAACAGACAACTATGGTATACGCCGATGCCACTACTACCTATGACATTGGCATCATGGACGCAACAACTACCTCCTACTATGACAGCGCGGCCGCGACCACCACCACCGCGGCCGCCATCACCGCCGCAGCATTCGAATCCACGGCCGCGACCACATTTTCGACATCTACATCTTCATCGTCAACAGTTAGCTCAGCCAGCAGTAGCAACACCGCCATTCCTTCTACTATCCGCGGTATCAACGTCGGTGGCTGGCTTGTGCTTGAACAATGGCTAGGCGGTGACGATTTTTGGGCACAGGCACCTGACGCGTCGGATGAGTACTCTTTCTGCTCTGCGCTTGGCTCGGGCGCTTCTGACGCCTTGCAGGCTCACTGGGCCTCCTGGTTCACTCAGGATACTGTCAACCAGTTGGCTTCGTATGGACTCAACGCGCTGCGTATTCCGATTGGATACTGGTCCTTCCTCGACGATGGTGCAGCGTCGCCTTATGTCGCTGGTGCCGCTGATTACTTGGACCAGGCTATCGGATGGGCTAGTGCCGCTGGCATGAAAGTCTGGGTTGATCTGCATGGGGCGCCTGGTTCGCAAAACGGGTTTGACAACTCGGGACATGCTGGGTCTGTCGAGTGGCAGACAGGCGATAATGTCGACGCGACGATTTCAGTGCTAAAGACAATCGCTGCGAAATATTCTGGATCGGCGTACGCAGACACTGTTATTGCGATTGAGCTTATTAACGAGCCAATCTCGTGGGACGGAAACAATGTTGATGTCACGCGACAGTTCTACAAAAACGCGTATGCGGCCGTGCGGGACGCGTTGACTGATAACACAGACTTGATGGTTATCATACACGACGCATTCATGGACCTTAGTTACTGGTCAAACTTGCCTTCGGCTTTGGGCGCCTCTGGAACCCAGATTGGAATCGACACGCACAGATACCAGGTCTTTGATGACTCTCAGGTTGGCCTCGACGGCGCTGGACACCTGTCGAATGTCTGCTCACAGGCTGATGATATCGCTGCGTCGGATTCTGTCATGCCGACATACGTGGGCGAGTGGTCTGCCGCTGTCGATGTGTGCTTCTTCTCCAATGGATCATCAGCCGCCGGAAGTTCGTGCTCTGAGGACGGCTGTTCGTGTGTTTCTGACGACCAGTCCAGCTGGTCCTCAGCCGTCTCTACTTTTGTGCGCCAATTCGTTGAAGCGCAGATGGACGTCTTTGAAGGCAAAGGGTCTGGTTATTTCTTTTGGTCGCACGTCGGTCCCGGAAATTGGAATTTCGTCAACGGCGTCGAACAAGGCTGGATCCCGCAGCCGCTTACCGACCGTTCATATCCTTCACAGTGCGGGTTTACACTCAGTGATATGACTTCCAGTTCGAGCACGAAGATGAAGCGAGCGTTGAATGCGCATTTGAGACGACGCCGGAGGAGAAGCAGTGAGAACAGTCATTTCGCGACTGCGCATAATGCTATCCGATTTGCTTCTTGAGTGAGAAAAAGGGTGTAAATATTCGTTTCGTATATAGTTGGATTTCGGTTTAAATTTTGGTTTAAATTTTGGTATTAATTGGATGGAGTTTTGGGTATAAGTCAAATAGATTTCATTAATCTTACTCTGTTTGAAATCTTAGTCACGAGAAACTTTAATTGAACAACGCGCGTCCCATGTGACGCTGACGCATTGAGTTCACTGGTTGCGAGGCGATTATGCAAGTTTGGGCAAAGAATAGAGAATAGTTTCTGAGTAATTTTTCTCAACTGTGGACGATAGAGATTCTGTAGTCCGTCAGAGGAATCGTACAGTAGAGATCAAGTTGCCTCGTAAATTTATTAGGAGAAAAGCCAACAAAGCATAAACATAGAAGATCAAATAATACAGCCACGCCCTAACTCCGTCACAAGTGATTATACGGGAATAAAAACCATAAATGAGGTACAAACATAAACATAAACCTTCTTAATTGAGAGTCAGATGAGTAGAGGTAGGAAAAGTTGAAGAAGTAGAGGAAGTAGAAGAGTAGAAGAGTAGAAGATAGAGAAAGGCAATGCAAAGATACTGGGAGTGCGCTGATATAAAATATAGAATAGAGAGTAGTGATTTATAGTCCAATCGCTATGTGCATTCTGAAATTGTCAATAAAAAATATATATATAGAAGAAGGATGCAGAAGCAATGGGACATACTCTCGCAGTAACAGCCATAAGGAGTAGTGATTACGGTGCCACATTTGAGGCAACGACGGTGACAGACGATGCGCTTGAACGCGTGAACAGGCATTTGAGTAGGTTGAGTAGGCTGAGTAGCAAGAAGCGCCAATGGTGATGATATGATAAGGTAGAAAGATAGAGAAGACAAAGTGAGATAAGACAGAGAGAAGGAGGAGGAGGAGGAGGAGAAAGAAGAAAACAGACTTAATAAATAAAAGACGGGGTGACAGCGGCTGCGACGGAATAGATGAGTGCATTTTTAATTTCGTTTTGATTGCGCAATGCTGGCTCTTTTTCTAATCAGATTTCTTTTTTATTGTAGATGATACATATCTCCTAATTAGTCACAATTACTATATTCTCTTGTTTCGTATTCTCACATTCTCCACAGATCTACAAACCACTATCAAACTTCTACGTCAAGATCATATATCAGCGGGTTAGGGCATTTGTAATGGGTCATCTTTATTGAGCCGAGCCGCACTGTCAGGAGGTGTTACTCTGCTGATCTATTCGTTTTACTGTATGTTTTATGTGTAACTATTGGAAAAAAAAAAGGATAGTTAGTAGGCGAACTAGAAACGTGTAATTTGTTGACCAAAGTAGATCAACCGCATCTGGAGATGTAGAAAGAGGATCGAGAGTGCTTACAGCCTAGGCCACGTTTAATCTCCGTCCTTTCTTTTTTTTCTCGCTTGGTATTGCATTTTTTTCTCAAAATTTATTTTGGATTGATTG